CCTAGGGCCTTTTCGGGACTTCATTAACATTCCATGAATTGTCCTGTGTTTTCCCTGAGTCATTCCCAGCATGGCCTCCATTTTAGATTTCACTCGATATTAGACCCGATTTACCTAACTACACTAACTACCTAACTTTAAATCTGGCTTCAGGCGGAAGAAGGGGACCCAAGAGGTGGAACCCGTGGAAGTGCGGTTGTTTCCCCTTTTTATAGTTTTGGTGATGGAATGTAGGTTGGAAGGGTTGGGGATGGGCTATCTCCAAATCTGTTGGGGGCTGTTTCCTGGGCTCCATTAACATTTCTTTGGGATGGGCTTTGGCCTAGGGCCTTTTCGGGACTTCATTAACATTCCATGAGTTGTCCTGCATTTCCCTGAACCATTCTCAGCATGGCCTCCATTTTAGATTTCACTCGGTATTAGACCCAATTTACCTAACTATACTGACTACCTAACTTTAAATCTGGCTTCATTTGGACATACCCACCATAGGAATGAAGTAATCCAGACTTTGAGGATGGTAGCAGAAGATCTCGGAAATGACCATCTCCCAAATTAACAAGCAAATTGTAACTCAAACAGAGAACAGGTGGAATGTAGCCTTTGAATCACTTCTTAAAAAACCCCCTGTTCCCACTGATGGGCAGAATCAGAGTCTCCGGGACAGGAGTCCCCTGTGTTTCTACCTTGCTAGCAAAACAATAAACTTTTTTCCTTTTTCTCAAAACTGTTTTCTCAGTATTGGATTGTCATTGGGGTCAAGGACCGAGGTTTGGGTAACAGAAATGAAAAGTCCAGCGAAGGGTGGGGGAAAGGCGGGTGGGGGAAACTGAGGAAGCTTAAGGGATAGTAGGTGCAGATCTTTCACCCTGACACCAGATTAGGGTCTTCTGCATGTGTGTGTGTGTGTGTGTGTGTGTGTGTGTGTGTGTTACTGGGAATTGAAACCAGTGGTACTGTTATGCTCGAATTCAGGACCCCCAAAAGACCACCAGAGACCAAGATTGATGTTAACAGCAAAGAGGTGTTTATTGCAAGGTAGTTTGGTCCTCCGCGTGTGCACACACAGCAACTGGTGACACTGAGAGGCCCGAGCTCAGGGTTTGCAGCAGTTTTATACATTCTTTGGAGAAGGTAGGGGGTTGCTATGGATCCCCATCTAGCCTGACTGAGTCAGGGGCACCTGGCACAGCAGATCTCTCCTGTTATTTGTAGATAAACAACTTCACAGGTGGGAATGTGCCTAGGAGCACTCTGTGGGTCTTTCCAAGGACAAAGGTCATGTCTCTTCCTTGGACAGGCTTTGCTCTGAGATAGAGGCTGGTTTTTCAGTACCCTTTTTATTTTTTGAGACAGGATCTCCTTAAATTGCCTTGAACTTGCAATCCTTTTGCTTCAGCCTCCTGGGTTTCTGGGATTATGGGCATGTGTTGTTATGCTCAGGTTCAACTGCTGGGTTTCTGCCCTACGTAGCCACATGGAAGGAGTGGTATTCATGGAGATGACTGGAGGAAGAGCACCATGTTGGGAAAAGAAGGTAGAGATTTCAATTTGGATGTAATGAATTTAAAGATCTATGAGACCTTCAAGTACTTTTGTTGAGTAGTGGTTAGATACTGTTGACTGGTGACAAGTCCTTGCTTCCCCGATGTTGAAGACTAACACCAAAGAAGCACGCTGAGGCAAGGTCAGAGTAGAGATTCGAAGTTTATTAAAGGACAGCAGAAAAGACTTCTCCCGGAGGAATAAGGGGACCCAAGAGGTGGAATCCGTGGAAGTGCGGTTGTTTCCCCTTTTTATAGTTTTGGTGATGGAATGTAGGTTGGAAGGCCCAAGGGGTGGGACACAGGTGGGCCTGTAAGAGGTGTCCGGCAGAGCGTTGGAGGGAGAGACCACACAAGAGACTTACTCCATGCAATTGGCAAAAGGGGATTTATTGGGGATCCATTCCAGCACGCTGGGGCTCCGTGCTCACTCAAGAAGGGAGAGCAGCCCAGAGCCCCGAGCTGAAGTCAAGCAGAGCTTAAGTACACTTTTTGGAGAGGGCAGTGGGCTTTGCATACATCAGAAGAAATCATCATGAGGCGCGGGAAAATTGAACAACAACTCTGAGACGTGATTGGCACATTCATTGGCGGAAACAGGTTGGTGATTGGTCATTCCTAAGAGGGTTACACATTCAAACTGATTGGTTCGGGCCCTGTGAAGAACTGCACAGGGCCCTAGGCTAAATGGACAGTAGAGCATTGTTTTAACTATCTCAGGAATTTCAGGTTCTGGGTGTAACAGAGGAACTTAATAATACCTAATCTTTTACATTCAAGCTTTCCAGCTTAGAAACTTTACCCTTTCAGGCCAAAGAAGTAATCTGGTCAGGAAGGACTTCATTATCACTTCTTTGGGATGGATTTTGGCCTAGGGCCTTTTGGGGACTTCATTAACATTCCATGAATTGTCCTGTGTTTTTCCTGAGTCATTCCCAGCATGGCCTCCATTTTAGGTTTCTCTCCGTATTAGACCCAATTTACCTAACTACACTAACTACCTAACTTTAAATCTGGCTTCAATACCAGGTCTGCAGCTCAAGATGCTGGTTTGAGCTGTAAGATGAAGATTTGTTGATATAAAAGGATAACTAATGCCATAAGAGTGAATCAAATTATCCTAGACAAAGCAAGAGATTGAAAAGAGGATTTAGAGTTGAGCCCTAGGGAAGAGAAGTAATAGTGAAAGGGTAAAGTTTCTAAGCTGCAAAGCCTGAGTTAATATGTAAAAGACCGGGCATTGTAAAGTTTCTAAGCTGCAAGGCCTGAGTTAAAAAGTGAAGGACCAGGTATTGCTAAGTTCCTCTGCTATACCCAGAACCTGAAATTCCTGAGGCAGTTAAGACAACGCCCTACTGGCCATTTAGCCTAGGGCCCTGTGCAGCTTGTCACGTAAGCATACAGGGCCCGAACCAATCAGTTTGAATGTGTACCCTGCTTAGGAGTGACCAATCACCCCCACCCGACCTGTTCCGGCCAATGAATGTACTAATCAAGTTTAAGAATTGTTGTTTGATTTTCCCCCGAGCCTCACGATAATTTGTCCTGATGTATGCAAAGCCTCCACCCTCCCCAAAAAGTGTACTTAAGCACTGCTTAGCCTCTGCTCAGGGCTCTGGGCTGCTCCCCCTTCTT